TCTTTTCAGCATGTCTCAGCCAATAGAGCTTCATCCTCATCAACTCTTGAACTTTGGCATAGAAGAATGGGTCATCCCTCAGAAAAAGTGGTGAAATCCCTTATTCCTACTAGTAGTTTGCGGGGTAGTATGAATAAAGTCTGTGAAGTCTGTTTCCGAGCTAAACAATCTAGAGAAAAATTTCCTTTAAGCATTAATAAAACCAGTAGAATTTTTGAAAAAAGTTCATTGTAATTTGTGGGGACTGTACAGATATCTTTCCAGTTGTGGTGCACACTATTTTTTAACCATAGTTGATGATTATTCTCGTGCTGTGTGGATATACTTCTTGATTGACAAAACTGAAGTTTTTCAAATGTTCATGTCATTTGTTGCAATGGTCCATAGACAATTTTCCCAAAAGATCAAGATTGTTCAAAGTGATAATGGTACGAAATTTAATTGTTTAATGAATTATTTTTCTACAAAAGGCATTCTCTTTCAAACCTCATGTGTGGGTACTCCACAACAAAATGGTCGTGTAGAACGAAAACACAAACATCTTTTAAATATCGAACAGGCTCTCATGTTTCAAACTAACTTGCCTGTAAGTTTTGGGGAGAATGTGTGATTACTGCCTCTCATTTAATTAATAAGACATTGTCCCCATTACTAGACAATAAAACTCCTTTTGAGATCCTGTTTGGTACTTCGCCATCTTACTCTACCATCAAAACCTTTGGGTGTTTGTGTTTTGCTCATAATAAAAAAGCTAAAGGTGATAAATTCGCGAGTCGTAGTAGAAAATGTGTCTTTGTTGGATACCCATTTGGCAAGAAAGGATGGAAACTTTATGATGTAGACACCAAAACATTTTTTGTTTCTCGTGATGTGAAATTTTTTGAGGATATATTTCCTTTTAGTGATTTGTCTATTCATTCTAAAGATCACCCTCATGACCTTCCCAATTACTTTGAGCCCATGGAGAATGCCTAAAATGACAGCCCATCGACACAACCCATACCCGCTGATGAGTCCAGATTGGTGTCTGAGCCCATTTCTACCACTAAGCCCACAGTGAATCTGGATCCCCAGCGACATTTGTTTCACCATCAAACGTCGAACATCAAATGGGAAGAGGGCACCGCGATAAATTTCCATCGGTACTTCTTGAAGATTTTGTTACTCACACCAAAGTAGTCCAAAGTCCATCCTGTCCTTGCTCGTCTCCATCGGCAACCTCAGGTACTTCTTATCCTATTTCTCATCATATAGCTTGTGATAAGTTTTCTCCTACATATCAGAAGTTTATTGCTTCACTTGTGGCTGGTCAAGAACCTAGATCATTTAAGGAGGCCATGCAACATGATGTTTGGAAAGCTTCTGTGAGAGAGGAGAGTCGTGTACTTGAAGATAATGGCACCTGGATTTTGACTTCTCTTCCACCTGGGAAAAGAGCCCTTGGTAGTCAATGGGTTTACAAAATTAAATATCACTCCAATGGTGAAATTGAGCGACACAACTCCAGATTAGTAGTCTTTGGTAATCATCAGGAAGCGGGAGTTGACTATAATGAGACATTTGCTCCCGTCGCCAAGATGATGACAATGCGTGTTTTCCTAGCCGTGGCAGCATCCAATAAATGGGAACTTCATCAAATGGATGTTCATAACGCCTTTCTACACGGAGACCTTAATGAAGAAGTTTATATGTGCCTTCCACCAGGGTTTCAAAGTCCTAACAAAAATCTGGTATGTCGATTACAAAAATCTCTCTACGGCTTAAAACAAGCTCCTCGTTGTTGGTTTGCGAAGCTTGTCAAATCTCTCAAATCATATGGTTTCGTCAGTCTTACTCTGACTACTCTTTGTTTACACTTAGTCGTGGTGGCACTCAAATTAATGTCCTCGTTTATGTGGATGATCTTATAATTTCGGGTAACAACTCCCGCTGCTATTAAAACATTTAAAGGTTATCTCAACAGTTGTTTTAAGATGAAAGATCTGGGCCCCTGAAGTACTTCCTCGGCATATAAGTGGCTCGAAGTCCCCAAGGTCTGCTTTTGTGTCAACGTAAATACACTCTTGACATAGTCAATGAAACAAGTCTTTTGGGGGCAAAACCTGCAAGTTTTCCCATTGAACAAAAACATAAACTTGGTCGGGCTCATTGTGCACTATTAACAGATCTTGAAGCTTATCGTCGTCTAGTTGGACGACTGATCTATCTTGTTGTCACACGTCCAGATCTGGGCTATTCAGTGCACATTTTATCTCAATTCATGCAAGCCCCACGCATTGAGCATTGGGATGCAACATTGTGAGTGGTCAAATACCTTAAGGGTACTCCTGGACGTGGCATTCTATTGCGTTCTGACAATACTCTTTCTCTACAGGGCTGGTGTGACTCGGATTGGGCGGCATGCCCCATTACTAGACGATCTCTCACAGGGTGGATTGTTTATCTCGGGCATTCTCCAATCGCCTGGAAAACTAAGAAACAACACATAGTCTCCCGCTTTTCTGCCGAGGCAGAATACCAATCCATGGTAGCTATCACATGTGAATTTAAATGGCTGAAGAGTCTACTTCTCAGTCTAGGAGTCAAACACCCTCAAGCAATTAATCCATTTTGTGATAATCAGGCAACTCTACATTTAGCAGATAATCCTATGCTCCACGAACGAACTAAACATATAGAAGTAGACTGTCACTTTGTGCATGATGCTATTGTTGAAGGTCTAGTGGTTCAATCATATGTTCACACATCCGAGCAACTGACAAGTATTCTAACTAAGGCACTTCGCAAAACTCAATTTGACAAATTGGTGGACAAGTTGGACATTTTCGATCCCCATGCTCTAACTTGAAGGGGGATGTTGAAGTATATCAACATTATCTTCTTATCTAGCTATTATGTATTTGAATGTAATTCTTATCTATTAGTTTGTTTTGTAATCTGATAGGATTATTTGTAATCCGATCCAAACGGATCTCTGATGTACCAACGTTGTGATTAATGAGATGTACACATGAAAATCGCATACACATTTGTATCGATTATTTCAAAAACCTATGACCGTATTTTTTACCCATATTTTCATCTATATATTTTTTATCCAAAAAATGCTATAGTTTCCAATCGAAATCCAAATGAATCGTATGTACACCATTTTTTGACAACATCCTTTAGTTTCCAACCAAAAACCCAAAATCCGGATAAATCAAATCCGAATGATCAGATAGTTGATATAGCTAAATTATATTTTTACCATATTCGAATATAAAAATATTGAAACCCGGATTTATTAAAATTGTCATATTTTATATGAAATGTTGCTGCATGGAATAGTGGTCTCAAATGAAATCCATTATTTTTTATTTTTTATTTTTTATTTTTTTTGCATTAAAACACTATTATTTTATAAACATGGATTTAGATAAAACAAACATATATAACTAACTAATAATACATATCAGTAATCAAATATAACTTTATTAAAAGTAAAATCATAATGGAAATATTTTATATACATATTATTTGCCTTCCATCCGGCCCGTCCAAGAAGGTGGACGATATAGGCGACCGTCCATGGTACATCTTTTAAAGGGGTCCAAATTTTTTATATATTTTATTAATATAATGTTAGACATGATCGATTTTGAAGATGTTATTAGTGATTTTAAATCTCAAAAAGCAAGAATAAGTATTTTTCTTGAAATATATGAGTTTTTATAATAAAAAATGTAATATTTAGAAGCTAGTATACATAATTTTTTTTTCAATTATTAAGTTAATATAAAAACAGTTGATGAAATTTGTGTATTTTAAGAGAGTATTTTTTCCTCTTTTGCCATGGGCCCAAAATATGTTTGGAACGGCCCCGCCTTCCATACGGAATGCACATTCAAATACATGGTCATATTTGAGATATTTCCATTGTAAAGTAATCATAGACATCGTCCTACATTCATTGTTACTTCTATATAATGACAACAATTTCAAACCGGATTGCAATATAAGCGTGTTGATGCAACATTATTTTGGGATGACCCTCCATATGTAATGGCTGTTATGATCAACATGCTCAACGTGATTTAACATTATTCATCTACAAGTCTTCTACTAATCGAGTTTCTTCTCCAGACAATTGTATTGCATATAGATGACACTTCATATGCAAAGCATGCTCATGATTATGTGTTCCACACTTCCACAAATCATGTGTACTGTCCAACAATCATAATAGATGAATGGTTTCCCATTAAACCGAAGGGACAATTAATCTTTAGTACCAATAATTTTACTAAAAAAATTTTGTACTTTGATATGTACAGCTAAGATCACATCTAAATATAATTATAAGACCCCATTTGATCTAGTTTTGTTTCTTTTAATGACAATAATATCCCAAGAGAATGTCCTCAATCTTGATGATAACTAAACATCTGAAATTGATTTTTATATTAAAAAAACTACTAATATAAAATATAAAAAGTATAAAAAAGAACTAATAACGGGTGGAGAATTCTAATGATCATTTTCATAATCTCATCGCTTGAATTTCTAAACATTCGATAAATTTCTCTCCAACTAGCCATGATGAAAGATGAATATAAGAAATAAATATTTTAAATATATAGAATATGATTTATTGATGTATGGTGGTATAATTGTTTGAGTGGTCTTAATGTCTTATGCCATATTTGGAATATTTCACTTGATCAATACTGTTATTTTATAATGTCATGCAAATATGCAATAGCTAGAAGCATTAAAAAAGTTTATATAATTTATAAATTTTAATATAAAAATCAGACCGGATAATAATTGGGGCGGGCCTCGGACCGGCCCACCGGGCTTAATCAAGCACTAGACATTGGGACATTGTTGATCTCTCTACTCTCTAGTTCTACATTGAATTGCAACATTCTGGAAGTGCATTTGCAAATTGCAAGTAATCGATGAAACATGATAGAAATACGAATATGAATCAAAAGCAAAAACGGAAGGAAAATCAATGAACAGATGCCATTATCCATTCATCTATAACAAGTGGTTCTACAAGTCGCCTCGTTTTATTCATCAAAAAAACACAAAGTGGAAAGAAAAAGATCAAAATCTACACCGCCAACTTCCCCTGATTTATCACTTCATTGCTGCTTTTGACGAACGAACAACATCATCAACTGCATAGGGCGAACAGTAATCGAACCCATACCACATCTCCGCCGGAATCCAATCGTTATAATCAAAAGAAACCGCCTTCGTATTGTACCCGTACACCTCTACTCTCTCCGGCAACCACCCGTCGTAACCGCTTCTGTACAAGTACACGTAACATATCTGATTCGTACACGGACCGTATACCTCGAATGTATCGGCCGAACACCGCTCAAACGTCCTCGTCGATGGATCATCCAGTCTGGGTGCATAAACCTAGAAATTATCATCATTATTCCATATCAATATCATATACATATTCTTCACTCAATCGATGCGAATTTCGAGCAGTTATAAATGTGAACAGAACATCAATCAGACCTGATTGCCGTAGGCATCGCCAAAGGAGATACTGATTTGATCTCTGGTATACGAAACGGAAGAACAGCTTGTTACAAGCCTTACAGTGAACGAACAAGTTCCTTCGTTCTATGAAAATCAAACGAGGTTAGTTAATTTATGATTTCTGTAAACGTCTTCTATGAAATCAGCTTTGAATTAACGCGAAGAACATCATACTACAAAATGAACAAGTGAAAGTGGTTACTGGAATTCTGCTTTCAATTAACTGAAAAGTAGAAGAGGCGAATGAAATTCTCTAATCAATTAGCGCTAGTTACCTGATGATTAGCAGAGTCGATCTTAAAATCAGGGTTTGGTAGTGGTGTTTTGATACTTGATCTTGCTTGAGATGATGTTGAGATTAGGGCACATAGCAGAATGAAACACGCAGCTCTCATCATTTTTCTCTGAAACAGGAGTAGTGCGTGGCAAAAGTTGATGACGAGAACAGTAATCCAGCATCAGTTAACTACTTGACAATCTACTTGTTTTTTTCTGGGGCGGGTACTCTGCTAGAAGAATTAATTATGAAATAAAAGGTAAACCTTTTTACGAGATATTATTACCAAGCATACCATTTAAAAAAAGTGAAACAGATAATATTTTGTAGGAACATGTAAATGTGTTAGTCGAACCAAATTACAAGACGGCGGTAATGTCAAAATTGTGGAATCTCGGGTTAATTAAAGCTATGAGGAGTGGCTTGGCACTAGGGCGGAACTTATCATATAATTTGGGGCCGAAATTATTAGGGAGGAGGGAGTCGTTCCCTCCCAACCCACCGAACCCACTGCCACATCAATTTTTTCTCTTTTATTTTTCTTCATCTTTCCGAACCCATAACACACAAAAATCCTATCTTTTTGAACTCACTCAACCCACTCAATTAAAAAAAAAATACAAAACAACTAAGGTCCAAGTTTTAAAACACATGGTACAAGAGAAAATAAGAAAGAGAAAGTAGAGAAAGATGATGAAGTGGGTTAGTGAAACCAATCAACCCACTCGTTGAAGCGGGAGTGGTATCGCCGATAACTCTATTGCTAATTAAGATTTTACATTTGATTGTTTTGTATTTTTTTTAATTGAGTGGGTTGAGTGAGTTCAAAAAGATAGGATTTCCGTGTGTTGTGAGTTCGGAAAGATGAAGAAAAATAAAAGAGAAAAAAGTGATGTGACAGTGGGTTCAGTGGGTTGGGAGGGAATGACTCCCTCCTCCCTTAGAAACTAAAATTAATGTTTTAACACATAAAAAACCAAAATTTTTCAGCAATTAAACACCAAAATATCTAAAATTACCGTTCTATAAAAATCAAAATCGAGGAATAAATCATTCAAAATCAGCTCTCTAACTTAAATCGCACATTAGATAAACAAAAGCAAATAAGCAATGCTCATCACTAATTAGTTGAACCAAGAAGAGAGCATTTAACAATGTGTGAAATCCTAATTAGTTGATTTCCAAAATTTCAACAACAATCAAATATAAAGGAACAATACATATCAATTTATTCTATACAAAAGTCACAAAATAGGCTCCTGAATGAAATCATAATGTGGGTGCAAAAATCCATTTAAATGTGTGTGAACAATTCCAACAACAATAGAAATTAGAAAAGAGAGAAGACAGATTAGGGCAATAGGCTACAACCGAACATACCTGGTTTTCTTCACTTATGTGAACAAAAAACTGAGAAAGAACAACATAAGTGTAGAATGGCTCGACAACAGGTAACTGTGGTGACTGGCGGTACTGCGTTGGACGGTGGTGAATGGCAGGCTGCAAGCGGCCGATTTAGTAATTAGCGAAGTGCGAAGATGGGGCCTGGGGGATTGGGGCGGAAGGTTTACAGGTTAGGACTCGATTGAATGATTGTTCTCATTCTCTCATGGATCAGACTTCTTGGCAACCTGAACACGAGGGGACACAACCCAAGATTTATATTGTTGGGCCTATATTTATGAAAATTAAGCTTATACGGGGTTACTTCTAACGTAAAATTCAGAAGGGGGGGGGGGGACCCCTCCTGGCCCCATAGAAGATGCGCCCCTGCTTGGCACCACCCTTCAACATTGCTCAGGGTTCGGTGCACACCACCCTACCTCTTCCTTGATATGCCAATTCGACAACCCCTTTCTCTCTCTCTCTCTCTCTCTCTCTCTTGACCGTGGTGTTGACTAGACAGTAGCCCTGTGGAAAATACCCGATACCCGAATTACCCACCCGATTTTTTTAGTTATCGGGTTAATCGAGTATTGGGTTAATTTTTTTGGGTATTCGGCTAACCCGATTTTTTTCAGGTCGGGTAAAGGATACGTTTATTGGGTTTCAGGTATACCCGAAATACCCGAATTATTCTAAAAATTCTTTTTTTTTTCTTTCATAGAGCTTGTACTGTAGCAGGTATTTGATCACATTTAAATTAACTATCATTATTGTAAAACATGAATCTCTTTTATTATGGCAGTATGACACCAACAATATCAAAATCAATTGTTTATATGTCACCATGTTCTTTAAAACTTAACAGATTTCTAGATTATAGTTTTTGTTGCAACTAACAAACTTATTATCTTGACAAAACTTCAGAACATGACAAAACTTATGGCTACAATTATCTTAAACATTTTAAACTTTTAAACTAAGATCTTTAAGTAGTTGTTTTTTAACATCTTATTAGATTAGATTAAGCTGTTAAAAGATTACTTGATATCTCAAGTATTATCAACTAAAAAATCTCAATGTTCAAATTTTGAATAACTTCGTTTATGCCTCGTTTGTTTATATAAACAATACTAATAGAGCACGACATATTATTTCATTAAATTTATTTTCAGGTGCCATTAAAAAAAATTATATATTTTGGGTAATACCCAAATTACCCAAACCCGACCCATTACCCGAATTACCCAAACCCGAATTTAATTTGGGTCAGGTAACAAGTATTTTTTTTAACATGAAAAATCCGAATTACCCGAAACCCGAAAAAATTACCCTCCCTACCAGGCAACAACGACTTCTTTTTTTGTTCAATTTCCGTACACTATAAATACCAACCTAATATACTATTTTATATCAAACCAACATTTTATTCTCTACCAAATGTCTTCTTCATCTTCGGAAACTTTTGACAAGGTGCTACAAGAGGCAATTGGCATTGCTAAAACATTGGCGAGCACAGCTGAAGAACTCAGCAACAAGGAAGGCGAAAATGCAAGGTGGAATATATATATTATATATATATATATATATATATATATATATATATATATATATATATATATATATATATATATATATATATATATATATAAGGGCTCATGCGAAAATGCAAATAATTTGCGAAAACGCGAAAACAAGAAAAACCTATGAGATTGTGTCACCTCAACCTTATATTTTGCACAAGAATCCATTCAAACTTTGAACTACATGATGATAATCGATGATACATGAGAAATTGTTTCATATTAGCAAAGCCTGTTTTTTGACATTTTTATTATGAAAACTTGAATATAAAAGTGGTTAAGGACGTGAAAAAAACGGTTGTTAAAACCACCTTTAAATCTATATTACAATAACATCCTCCAATATATACTTATTATCTTTAATTTATTGCTAATAAATTTAATTGCCAAAATACATGTCTTTGATTTTTATATATATATATATATATATATATATATATATATATATAATATATATATATATATATATGTTGTCAAATATAACTAATATGATAAAAAAGATGTTTATTAGGAGGTTTGATATTTAAGACTTATATTATAATACATATATCAATTATATACTTTTGATTGTCTCTATCTACATGTTGCATATAAATAAATCATACATACTTATAAAGCTAGCATTTTTTCTTAAATCTCATGCATTTGAAACCCCATTTTTTAACTTCCTTTCACCACATTCATTTGAAACTCCCATGACTTTTCAATTTCTTTACAATAATATTATAAATAAGTTAAATAATGTTCTATAAACAAGAAAGGGTGTTTTATTACAATGCCTTCATCCCACATCGATGGTGAGAGTAAACAAGAGAATGTTTCCTCTTCTATAAGAACTTCCTCATGCCTACCTTTGTAGGATTTTGAAGGTATTATTTGGTGAGATTGTCTATATTGGCAAGTGTCCAGTTAACTTTTAGAATTCCAAAAATGGTTTTGAACCGAATTTTTTCAGGTTTAAACCGTGTTTCAGTTAGAAAAAAATTATGTAGTTAGGTATATTGAGTTGAACCGGAGCTGGATCAATTTGGACCGATAAAGGAATCATTTTCCTTTCACAACAAACATTTGAAACTCCCATGATTTTTCAAATTATTTCTAATAATATTATAAATAAGTTATATAATTTTATATAAATATAAAAAAACATCTACCTAAACCTAAAATTATAACTGTTTGGAAAATCACTTTGATTCAAAAGCACGAAATATATACAAACCGGATTTCACTAGAAAAAAAAATATGTAGTTTGGTATATTTAGTTGAATCGGTCCGAGTTTGATCTATTTGGACCATAAAAGAAGCATTTCTTTCACTACATACATTTGAAACTCCCATGATTTTTCAAATTGTTTCCAATGATATTTTAAAAAAGTTACATAATGTCATATAAATATAAAAAACATCTACCTAAACATAAAATTATAATTGTTTGAAAATTCGATTTGATCAAAAGCACGAAATATATACGCAGATTATATTCTATAAATGAATTCTTTTTATAATGAACTTTTGAATCTTGAAAATACATATAAACAAACTTTCTATATTAAGTATCTAACTGAATTTATGATTTTAGAATTGAACAAAAAGTTATTCAATAAAAACTTACTTTTTTGGATAGCAACTAACGAGATTATAGAAAAATGGAACTATTGAACAATAAAGAAAGGGTAAACAAGAGAAAGGGTGTTTTACTAAATAAGTTGAATAATGTTTTATTAACAAGAAAGCGTGTTTTATTACAATGTCTTCATCCCACATCGATGGTGAGAGTAAACAATAGAACGTTTCCTCTTCTATAAATAGGAAAGGTTGTGAAATGTTTCAAAGGGACCAAACCATGAGAACTTCCTTATGCCTACCTTTTTAGGATGTTGAGGGTATTCTTTGGTGAGATTGTCTTTATTGGCAACTGTCCATTTAAGTTTTAGAATCCCGAAAATGGTTTTGAACAAGATTTTTTTAGGTTCAAACAGAGTTTCAGTTGAAAAACCGTTATGTAGTTTGGTATATTGAGTTGAATCGGTCTGAGTTTGATCAATTTGGACCGATAAAGGAAGCAATTTCCTTTCAGCACATATATTTGCAACTCCCATGATTTTTTCAAATTGTTTCTAATAATATTATAAATAAGTTACCTAAACATAAAATTATAATTGTTTGAAAAATAAGTTTGATTCAAAAACACAAAATATATACAAACCGGGTTTCAATAGAAAAAACGTTATGTAGTTTGGTATATTAAGCTGAATCGGTCCGAGT